AGGAAGTAAACCTAGGACCTCAGTACTGCGAGGCAGCAATGCTAGCCACTGTGCCAGCCTTCCACTCGGCCTAGTCAATATAAAATAAAATATGTACAGAACAGCTTATCAAAATTACTTTTTATTCAGACTTAATATAAATTTGCTCCATGAAACACAGGCTTAATTTCTGAATTCCTTTTGCTTGTATTACATTTTCTTTGGAATAACAGACGCAAATATGCTGGTTAACAAATATTACAACACAGTGACTATAACTGACTCCAAATCAACAAAGTTTCTATATAAAAAACTAAAGAAAAACCCTCTCAGTCCAACGTTTTTCACCTAGAGAGAAAATAGGAGAGGTACTGTGCTTGCCACATTCTATATAGAGGGCTCAAAGTTTAGAAGGAACATAAATAAAGTACTTCCGCATTATGGTTTAAGATAAAAATCTAGTGGGCTGGCATGCAGTGTCTGTGTCAATAGGGAACAATTCACTTGTTATGAATCACAGTAAACAGTTAGGAAGTTCACTGTGGGACAGTTGGAGATTTTCAATGCGGCTCAGAAATGAGGTAGTTAAACCTTTTCCTCTTCTTTTTCTCATTTCTTCGAACGTTTTCTCTTATTCCGATGGTCAACATTACAGTCCTGTCAGTGGCTGTCCACCTCTCGTGGTCAGCAGACCCCCCTCCCTACGCGCACTACCACCAAAAAACACTACCCCTCTCCCTCCCGACACCTCTCATATTCGCACACCTTTTCGCACTGCAGCCAGAAAATCAGTGGCATTTGGGGACTGCTTCCTTTCTTCGTTTACTTCTTAGGAGGCTCGGGGATTTTTTCTGTCTGTTTCACAAAGGAGGAAAACGATCCAAAGGGTAGAACATTCTGTAACTAATTCAAAACGCCGTTGGAAAGGAGAAGGAGAGGGAGGAAGGGGGTGGGAGGGGAGAGCAGGGAGTTTCTTAGGTTTCTTTTCAGCTCTGGTTTGTAAATGCAGAGGAATTTCAGAAGCAGGTGGCTGGTGGTGGCATAAAAAATGACAAATGTTACAGAAGGAGCCTGAGTTACACCCCAAAGTGCGCCACTGAAAAGAGAAACAGTTGCTTCCTCTGAAGTGGGCTGGTTGGCACTGATTAATCGGAGTTTGCTTTTTCAGGAAACAAATAAACCCCCAAAACATTAACAAGAGACATAAAACAATATGCTAATGTGAGATGCAGCCCACTTAAAAGAGCCTGGCATTGAATACCAGCCCAAAAGGTTTACTGATATTTTTTTATCTTATTCATACAGCAGGATGGAGCCAGGCACTTTCACAGTAATAATAGCTGTAATCGATTAGTTCTCCTCTGGAAGAAAATACAGAACACAGAAGCTGTGT